TTCCTTTGGCAGCAAAAATTCGGCCTTGGCTCTTCCTGATTGACAGCAGCAACAGCATCTGCAGCAGCAAGTTGGCAACAAAGTAGCTGCCATTTCTTCTTCCTCTTTTGAGGTAGTTGCTGCAGAGTCTTCCACTTACATCCATCTGCTATCAATCTTCCTTCCACAGCAAGGATTCCTCCACTTGCTTCAGCTCCGATCAGTCCTTTAGCAACTCAATTTCCACCAGCTTCCATTTTAGTCCAATCCGATGCCTTTTTGTGCAATTTGGCCCTCATTTTTGCTAATTTTCCACATTGGTCCTCCGAGATACATGGACTGTAAAATCACTCTAAAAGTAAACTAATCATAACTAATTGACACTAAATTAAGAGTAGAAATGAGTAAGAAATGTCTACAAAAAGAGTATATATTTTTGTGTTATCAGAGCCGTGCCCGTCGAGCAGGTCTTATTTAAACTCGGTGCCCGTCTAGCTTGTCTTTAGGTTTATTTTCTGATGCGGGGTGGTCCCCAATGCCTGATTTGAAGGGTGGCCCTTATATGTTTGCATGGTCAAGATGCAATATAGTATGTTGTATGTATAAAAAATATAGTCATATGAAATAAGTAATATGCTTATAACAAGAATTATGATATCAGTGATATATGAATATATGTTCGAGAGGCATATAATAATGGCAAGGTTTGAGAAGTACATCGATCACGAGATAAATTGATTATTCAAGAAGGTGTTACCTTGATTCCGAGAAGGTAGTAGTTGAGTAGATAAAAGTCGAGATACATTTTCTCGAATACTTTGAGTAGTAGTATGGTGCTCGAGGGATGGTTACCCCTTCGAGGAGATATATCTCTCAAAACTTCAATCTTCGAAATTGCCCCTTGCTTCGAAGGGTTTGAGAGCTTATCTGTAAAATTATAAAAGTATTAGGGTTAATTAACCATAAGATAAAAAGTATAGGGGCTGAATTTCAAATTTTCTAAAATTATTGAAATTTTTCTCGGTTCATCCTCCTGCCCCTTGTCGACCTGTTCGTCGGTTTGTTGAGGTCGGCATGGAAGTCGACAACAGCTTCGTTGGCTTTGTTGTCAGCTGGAGTAACTAAACAAGAAAATCACCAGAATGGTCATCGATCTAATCGTCGATTGGAGGCCGTTGACGTGGAAGTCGACGACGGTCAGTTTGCCCAATTTCTAATTTCTTGATTTTGGCTTTTCGCGTACATGGACTTGCAGATCATATTAACCCGATGATCACCGTGAAGAACAAACAAATTTCGACTTTTTTTATGAAATATTTGCTTGTAAGGATCAAACAAATCGGTCTCATTGGGCATGCCACTTGACGAAGCATGGATCTGCAGGGTGCCTTAGGACGGGCGGCGATGATGATCTAGGCGGCGGTGGACGGCCTAAAACCTGCAAGACAGAGCCTCGGGTGTCTCCCGAGAGTAGACTCTCCGATATTTAAATCAATAACAGAATAGAGAGAATGGAGAGATGGGCAAAAGATATGAGTCTAAGATATATAGAAGATATGTAGAATATGTGTATTATGGGAGAGGCATCAACTCTTTATATAGAGGTGGTGTTACCTGGTGGTGCCCATTCCAGGTAACACCACCTCTAGTCAGAATAGATTTATACAGTGACTTAGTTTTTAAGTAATCTAACCCTAGGTCCAATAGGCTTGAGGTTCAATCTGGACTCGTCACCATTTTACAAACATTTGCTCGTTTTTGTTAAAAAAATAGCCAACTTCCTTTTGGGTTTCCTTTCTTATTTTCTTAACTGTGTTTATCTCAAATGCGGCGATTTTTTATTTTTTTTTGGGAAATGATAAGAAATGAAATTTTATTCTAGCGTTCATGCATGTTTTCCGGTCTTTGAATTTATTTACGATAATGTGACCAGAAGTTATCTCGGTTTGTGCGATAATGAAATGGTCAGATATGCTTGTAAATCAATACTACACTACAATGTGAAAGGTCGCATGCAGCTATAACATCAACCATTGATTAACTTAGGAATACTATGACACATCAAATCATTTGTTGATCGATGAATGTATTCCACAAAAATAAGAATCTAAACCGCATATGTTTGTGTACTCACAGGTTCAGAGTAGTTTCCTACTGACAAACGCAATGCGGGTTAAAAAGTTGAGCCCTTTACAAAAACAATAGGATATCATAATTTGACAATATATTCGAGTTTGAAGGTTGAAATTACACGGGACGAGGAAACCAAAAGAAATTTACGAATTGTCAGTCACATGCAAAATCTGGGATGAAGAAAAAAGAGCAGAACAATTATCTTTCTTGCAAAGAACATATTCACTCCCACAATGTTTCATTTGAAACAAAACTATTCAAGCCTTCAAGAGACGCCTTGAAGGCTTGATGTCATAAAAGTTGTTTATTCCCGCAATATAATCCTATTAATCAGTTAGCCCTTTGCCTACTTTTGTGTACACATTAATTTGTTCTTGATGATACAATTAGCCTGATACAATATCGAACATTGAACATTATTAACATTATTGGAACAGCATCCGACATGAGGATAAAACCTGATTTTTGTTTTTGATTTGCGGTTTCCTATTTTCTTTAATTATTATAACGATCCGTTTTACTATTTTTAGGTAGAAGAATGCGTGGTAGTTAAGGTTGTCCGAAGTGGGTTGGGGTAGACGTTTATGGAGGCTGCTAATTGATGAGATTGAAGTCATCTCCTCCATCATAATTGATCTATATTGAATTGTCTAATTATGTACTTACTACAAAGGTATATATCAAAAGTTTTCTACAATAAAATTCTACATCGCTCATTTTCTGACAAGAATCTAGTGGTATTTGTTGTCTGTTGATAAATTTTTCTTCTCAAAGCCAACCCATTACGCTAGAGAAATCATAAAAAGTGGTGATAGACTTGACGAAAATTTTTAAGTGAGGCTAACTTAACTTAAACAATTTATTAATATTTTGAGCGAGGTATGCAGATTAGATCGGCTTAGAATTAAGCCATATCATAAGTTAATAAGTTCTTCCTGAAAATAATCATTGAATAAATACGTAATAAAACATTAAGAATCTATAGTGCAATCAAAATTTGAACCTACCACTTTATACGCACACCAGGAAGGCCATTACTAACAATCTACAATTTCCCTTTTCGTACAAACATTCTATTGGATATCACCCCCTCTACATTTTTTTTTTCAATTATAAATCTTGCAATCAATCCCCCAATTTTTCGTTTCAAATTCAACACTTCATAAAGGTCTTATTGTTTCTTTCTCTCCCCCCCCCTTCTTCTTCTTTCATACGCTCTCTCACTCTCATCTCAGAAATAAAAATATTTTCTCTTTTAATGATAAAAATTTGAGATTCATGCCTGTTTGAGCGAGGAATATGCTAAGAATATCTGCGAGCGCTTCTACTAAGTTACTCTCTGCATTCCAAAATAAGTGTCGTTTTAGCAAAATAAAGAAATTTTAAAATAAGTGTCGTTTTCACGTCCCAATGTATTTTTTGTCAAAAAAATTCCAAATATACCCTCAAAGAAATAATATTATTGGTGAGCATTTATTTTAATGGGGTTGGTTGAGAACATTCCAGTAATTTAACTACCATATTTAATATTTTCTTAAACTGTGTGCAAATTCTAAAATAGCACTTAATTTAAAACGGAGAGAGTATTGAAAGAATGTCCACACAAGCTAGGATTAATTCGTGCAAGTCACTGTTACATTTACTGTTCATTCAAAAATAATATTACTCTCACCTGTTTATTTTTTTAATTTAAATAGATTTTGTTGATTTAAAATAATATGATAAACATAATTGTTTTTTGGAATGAAAGTAGTTTAAAGGACAAATGTAAATGTTCAAAAGTTAATCAGATTCTCTGAACTGGTTAAAACGGTAGCTGATTGCGAACTAGATTACAATATCTATAACAGAGTATCTAAAACTTGAACTCTCTAATTATGCATTGAGAACGAATGAAAGGGGAAAAAAAAAAACCAAAAAAGATCTAAAGAGTTTTGAAGTTTCTACCATTGCATCACAGTTCACTAAAACACTATATTGCTTCTCTCAATTTGACTTCATTGCCATAAAATCCAACAAGTGGCCCTTACGCCTTAAATGTACCTTAAATAAATAGAAACGTGATGAAACAAAAATACATTGAATCCAGGTAAACGTTGTTGCTTTTTTACTCGGAAGTTCATGGAGTCGATAGCATATGTCCTAATTTACGAGTATTAGCTAAGTTAACAAATATCGTTTTACTTTTACAAACTATTTCTTTCGTCTTAGAATTTTTTTTATGAAAAAAAAAACAATACTCCATCCGTCCTAAAAAAAAATAGTCCACATTGAGTTTTCAAAGTTTGTACTAAAAATAGTACAAAACTCAAAACTCAATATGGACTATTTTTTTGAGACGGAGGTAGTATAATAATATGATACAACAGACTAACCTTAAAAGATAGTGTATATTAAAACTTCTCTTGAGAAAAAAGACATAAAAAACAAAATCCAAAACAAAACATTATAAGCAAAACTCATAACTGTTGTAACATTTGGTTGTTCTACTAATGACAAATGAGCGATCCATATAAAATCTGCAAGGTATTTTTAGGAAAAATTATTTTTCTATTTATTATAAAAATTATAAAGTTTGGATACTCATTTCGGACGGATGGATTACGATACTTTTGTTACATTATAACCTTCATAATTTTGTGTAAGTTGCTTCGTACTTGCATAAAACACTATTGGATAGTTTATTAATTGTTTGATGGCTTAGGTGCAACATTTTATCAAATTCTATGTCCCCCACATTCTTTTGTCTCTTTTCTTAAAAATTGATAGACACCATCAATTATCAAGCTCATACTCTGAAATTCACATCTATCTCTATCACTACAGCCTATAAATATCCTTTTTAGAAAAAGAAAAGCCTATAAATATACTTAGTCCTTTAATTATCTGTTCATGCAAACTTCCCTAATACTCCAATAATCTTTAGCTGAGATAGCTTAGCCATGGAAATTCAGGGTGAGAATCATGAGAATAAAGTAGGCATTTTAGCCCATTGGTGGTGCTGGTTAAAGGATTTTCCTAACAGGGCAGTTGCAAAATTTGTTCAATTTGCTAGCTTGACAAAGAAAATTGGGCAAGAAGACCCAAGAAGAGTGATCCATTCTCTCAAAGTAGGATTTGCACTTACATTGGTTTCTTTGTTCTACTACTTCAAGCCACTCTATAAAAATTTTGGAGTTTCAGCAATGTGGGCTGTCTTGACTGTGGTCGTCGTCTTCGAATTCTCTGTAGGTACTTGAATTACTATCCCGTCTCAAAATAAGAATCTGATTTCTAATATAATTTAGTCTTGAAGACAGGACGCGACGACTCTGCGCTGATCATTTGAATGCAAAATAATGACTTTTTTTTTGTTTGTTTGCATTGAACTTTCAGGTGCAACAATAGGAAAGGGCATAAATAGAGGACTAGCAACATTACTAGCTGGTGCATTAGGAATAGGAGCTCATCATTTGGCAAGCATGACAGGGAATGTTGGGGAGCCCTTATTGATTGGGACCTTCGTCTTTCTTCAAGGTATATAAACTATAACCATTTAATTAATTACTTCCACTACAAGAAAAATGACGTCGAGCCGCGAAATATCATATTTGAAGAATTCTATACCTCTATTGTTATTTATTTACTATAACTATTTTACCACTGTCTTTGCAGCTGTTGTATCAACATTTATTAGGTTCTTTCCCAGAGTGAAGGCTAGATATGACTATGGATTGATGGTTTTCATCTTAACATTCTGCCTTGTGTCGATTTCGGGTTTTCGAATGGATGAAATACTCGTTTTGGCACACCGAAGGCTGTCAACGGTATTGATTGGTGGATGTACCTGCGTGATGGTGTCCATTTTTGTGTTCCCCGTATGGTCAGGAGAGGATCTTCACAATCTCATTGCGGATCATATTGAAAAACTCGAAAATTGCATAGAAGGCAAGTATTTATTTTATTTTATTGTTGCAGCTGGAGTTTTTCTATGTGCCACAATGTTAAATTGAACCACAACCTATATTTTCAGGTTTCGGAGAAGAGTTCTTTTTGACATCAGAGTTGAAGAATGATAAAGCAGTTCCGGTTACTTATAGAACTGTTTCGAATTCTAAAAGTACTGAGGAAACCCTGGTGAGCTAGCCTCTTCTTCTTATCGTAAATTTCTGACACGATAATTTAATTATGGAGATACCCCTTTACCACTTATTATAACATTTGTTACAATATTATACTCCATCCGTCTCAGAAAAATAGTCCACATGGAGTTTTGAAATTTGTATAGTCCACATTGAGTTTTGAAATTTGTACAAATTTCAAAACTCAATGTAAACTATTTTTCTGGAACGGAGGTAGTATCGTATAATCATGTTCATTGTGAAATATATAGACAACATAACACGATTATCAAAAATTGACTACTAATCGCTTTGATTCATTTTGTCAGGCCAATTTCGCAAGGTGGGAACCAGGACACGGAAAGTTCATGTATTTCCATCCTTGGAAACAATACCTGAAAATCGGGAATTTGACAAGGCAATGTGCCCGAAGAATTGAAGCCCTTAATTGTTACCTTAATTCAGAAATCCGGGTAAATTGATTAATTTTGCTACTATAAATCAAACCTTAATCCATGACCTCACAAAAATGTGTGACAAAATGATCGCGTTATAACATAGTTTATCTAATATTTTTCCAGATACCGCGAGGAATTCGAGAAAAATTCCGGGATCCGTGTACGAATATGTGCAAAGAATCAGGCCAAGCATTGAAAGAACTATCCTTAGCAATCAGAAAAATGACTATGCCATCTTCTCCAAGTGATCATGTTATGAACTCAAAAATGGCAGCCCAGAACCTTAAATCCTTACTTACATCAGATTCTTGGGAAAAGGATACTAATCTGTTACAGGTTATGCCACTTGCAGCAATTGCATCTTTGCTAATTGAGGTTGTTTTAAGTGTGGAGGAAATTGCTGAATCTGTTAATGAACTTGCTTCCATGGCCAATTTTTCGAGCTCGTTAGACAAAAATAACGTCCCAAACACTACTGAAGAATTTTCAGGCGGTGAAAGAAAATGCAAAGAGAATCAAATGAGTGGCTGTTTGGACCACGTCATTATTCCAGTTTGCGGGTTGAAGTAAAATCTCCTGCCATTTGAGAAAATATTCAGTACATCTGTTGTGTATGTGTTGGAAAACAATAATTTAGAGCCAAGCTCATTCTAAAAATACAAAGTGAATTCTTGGTTGAGTTACTTTTGTGATTTATCATTCCGTACGTTTTTGTCTTGAAAAGGACCATTTTCATTGGGAAATTTTTAATAAGGATGAGGCAAACTTTGAATCCTAAAGTGCCTTTAAATAAAAATAAATAAAATCCTTTACTTATTTAGTTTGTTATATTATACTAGGATTAAAAGTGGTAATGATAGTGAAATTACCTCTAGCGGTGTTAGCTAGATAGACTTAACTTTCATTGATGGACACACTGTTTTTCCTCCTGAAAAGCACAGTTGCATTTTATTGGTAACGCTCTGTTTGTTTGTTGTTTTTTTAGGATATTTTGTAATTTTTTTTTTAATCTATTTTCTAGTTATTACATTGTATTATACCTTCTCAGCAAAACATTTTACGCGCACATACATACTAAATATTTCCAAAAAATAAAAAAAATAAAAACCGAAACAAGCAAAACCAATGAAGAATCGTGGAGTCTAACACCTATACCTCGAGCCAAATTGCCCATAGTGGGGTTGAAAGTGTCACTACAACAGGAAAAAAAAAGAAATATAAAAGAGAAATAGCATGTTTTGTTTATTATATATATTAACATTGCATGAATTGTAAACATGATGAATATAGTTATATTACATCTCCTCGACTGAATCTTCATGACAAAAAGCAAATTAGGTTTGATTATACTAGAACTAGACTACTAGTGGTCTAACTAGTGGAACACATCACTTAATACACATGATGGTATCATAATCCCAGTGGTTTGTGGCATTCAATAAATCATACATTCCTTATTAATTCGAAAACTTCAACGAATGAAATTTCCAAGACTCTTATTTGAAGTTAAATATTATTAGTCTAGACTAAAAGAAGTCTATAAATTAAATAAAGTTACATGTATAAGAGAGAGAGAGAGAGAGCATAAAATACCATTAACGTAATGTGATAATTAAAATAGTGGATCATTTGTGACCTTCCAATTAATTTCCAACCTGTCAGAAGGGGGAAAAAAGAAGAACAAACAGCAGCATCACAATGTTGAAATTAACAGCTAGAAAACAATAAGATAATGAAAGAAGTGAGTCAACTTATCTCTTTGATAGCCAAATTTTCGGCAAATTATCTGGTATACCCGGGGCAGCGTGTATCTACCTACGCGTGTATTTTACTCTCTTAGAATAGCGTGAGTTCGCTAGATAATTCAGCTTTCTTTTTCTTTTTTTTTTAAACGTGGCATATATAAATTACCGAATTAATTCAAATTTTGAAAACTTTGTGATGGAGTATTATTGTTGGGCGACGGCTAGATAACCAGTGTGCACACTATGGATAACTAGTTAAACATAGCTGGATAACCAGTGTGCACATTATGGATAACCAGCTACACACTATGGGCAACCAGTGTTCACAATGTGGATAACCAGTATTGGCACTATGGATAATTAGTTATACACAGTTGGATAACCAGTATTGACAATATGGATAATTAGTTATACACAATTTAACAATCCCATAATTAGTTATTTCCATCATTTGGCAAACTGCCCCTCATTCATTTTTTGTTCTCCATCATTTGGCAAAATGTCCCTCATTCAATTAAATACTATTTATGAAATTTGCCGTGTTCGACAGGGGGGCGGCGCAGCCGCGGGCACCGACGCAGCCGGGTCTTTAGTTTATCACGGGGGGATTTATACAAGTAATTTGTGTCCCCTCTTAACACAATAACACACTCTCCTTACACACACACAAAAAAATGATTACCTTAGCAACATTGGCGTGTTCGGCGGGGCGGCGCAGCCGGGGCAGGTTAGTGACCTGCGATTCCGGTAGCTGCTGGAGTCGTTTAGTTTATCATGGGGCGCGAAGCCCACCAATTCACATGTCATTTGCTTCTTTATCTCTGGATAACCAGTTTACAACTTGTGGATAACCAGTTTACACATTCTGAATAACCAGTTTACAATTTTTGGATAACCAGTTTACGCCTTGTGGATAACTAATTTACAGCTTCTGGATAACCAGTTTACACCTTCTGGATAACCAGTTTACAACTTGTGGATAAATTATGGATAATTGTGTGTGTTTGTGCGTGAGGATAAAAACAGTAAAATGGATGAAAATAATTTTGTTTGTGCATTTAATGTAAAGGTGAAAAATGTTGAGCGCGTGTAGCCTGTGTGTTTGGTGGGGGTATACGGTATACCTGGGTGCACTGGATACGGACTCAAATTTTCAAACCCACCATTTAAGACAACAAATCCATCCAATAACTATAAGCAAAAAGCACAAAAGTGGAAACTTGAGTTGTTTTCCACTAAAATTGGATTAATGGCGGACATTTGAAACACATGAAAACGCGAGGTGTACTTTCTAGTACAAGGTTAGAAAGCATTGCTACCTGTATCTCTTGCTTGGCGAAGATCAGTATATTGATAGCTTATATGCGATGTTGACTAAACTTTATACCCTATGAAGAACTTATCATGAGATCTCAACTAAAGTGGCAAAAAAGAAAACCAAAAAAGAACTGGTTATCAGTCACAAATATATTAGATATATGATAGTGCTTTCGTAACTGAATTGTCTTCTTCTCATTTGTCTTCTTATCCTGCATTGTACTATTATAGGCTTTACAGCCCACTAGTACAAACATGGTAAAAGTCTATTTTCCAACTAGCATACTGCCGTGCCATTTTACCCAACGATGAAATTTCAGATACAGGCTTCAAAAATAGATACTAGGGGCAACAACTAATAAGCCTATATCTAAAGTTCAATTGATTCCTTGTTGGGTCTCACACACGTTGTTTCCAATCAAGCTTTATTTTTAGCTTTAGGCCCATTAGTTTTCTGGAATGTGGACTTACTACAAATGATATTTGGATTAAATAACGGGGGGAGATTCAATTAGTTTTTGAATATCTGTATTGTATTTTAATTTTTTACTATATTGTTCAGATTCTTGTATACTCTCTCTGTCGTAGTTATGGAATAGTATCGCGTGTCCGAAACTAAAATCGTAACACGTAAATGGTATCATAAGATATGTTCTACTCCTTTCGGCAATGTTTGCAGAATCGAAATGAGGTCACAGGATCGGATCGTAAATGGGATAAGTATGATCGGAATAATAGAATCGTAACAATACAAAATTATTTAAAATTATATATTTGAAGCAATAGGTGTATTTTTTCCAATTTATTTGTTTCCTATAGAACCAAAACAAATTTTAATTTCTCAACCGTTTAAGTTGTAAGCATGTACGCGGTCATGAGTATGTTTCATTTTATCAAAACTCTTCATCATAGTTAGTTTATGTTTATTTAGTTGAGTGAAAACTATTATTTTAATTAAAATAGTTCCAATATAATTGGTACAATTTATTTTATTATCATTTATCAGTTTGACTCATAATACTAATAAAACTGAATCACTTAGAGACTCTGACTTTTTGTTTGACCGCTCAAACAAAAATACTCTGTTTATTTATTTCTTTGGAAATAATTAATTGCAAATTTTCTTTCCTTCTCCATCATCTCCTCCAGAACGGTGAGCATTTGTTCCTCCAAAAAACAAAGCAATGGTGGCCAAATTGCAAGAATTAAATCAGATTTGAAGACCATTATTTGGGACTAAGAAATTAACGGCACCCATCTCTTTTTTATCAAATTGATTTGTGAGTTTATATAACTCCCACCGTCCCACGCTTTCCAGGAACTCAAAGCCCAAATTCATCTTTCTGTTATCTTCTCCCGGGTCTCTTTCATAACTAAATTGATCAATTGTTCTAGAATCGTTGAACTCGGCGGGATCGTACGATCCCATCGATTCCGAACGATTCTGACGATTTCACTCCGAGTCCAAGACCAAAAACGATTTTGAGCGAGTTAGGATTGATTTCACCATCTCGGATCGCGGGATCGTGCGATTCTACGATCCGGATCGAGTTTGCAAACTATACCCTTCGATTCTTAATATAAGGTATTTTGATTTGTCCCAAATTTCAACTATTACATATCTTTAATTGGCAAACAAAACTTTTAAAATATATTTTCATATTCGCTGTGTCCTCTTTTTTGTTATGAAATATTTTTAAGATTTTTTGTCAGTAAAACATACGAACTAGATGAAACTTAGGACAAATCAAAATACCGGGGAAAGTAATATGATAATGTGTATAAAATAAATAATAATATCATAAATTTTATATGTAATTGATATATTTATATGTATTTTTTGTTTTTAGATACTTTCTATAACACCTGTTATTATAGCCATAAATTTAAAATTAATATAAACAATACATCTATTTAGTTATACTTTTCTTTTCTTTTTTTTGCAAAAACTCTTAGTTATACTTGAATTAAAAAACTACACATGAATAAAATAAATATTTACAATCATTTTATTTTTTAGACTAGAATAATTTATTAAGGAATTTCATCTACAATTGAAAAAGATCATGTTTGTAAAGAAAATAAATCAAAAATATCTATTCAAAACGAATCTGTAAATGAAGTTCTTCCTAAATTTAAAAGGGAAATGGTTATTATGAAACAGTAATTCAAAAAAAAAAAAAATTGGTGGAGGGGGGTGGGATGAAGGTGAATTGTATTATGTATAACCTGCCAGTTTATGTACAATCTAATTCAATCTATTACAAATTCAGAAAATAACATCAATTGATCTAAAATACCGAATATCATCTCCACTACCCTTTCTACAATAAATCTGAATCTTTCAGCATATATCTTCTTTCAATTGCTCAAATCTTGTAAGTGCATCCTTAGATTCTTATCTAAACTTTTTAATGTTTCGTTCTATCCAAATATGATAGACTGTAGCATTCAAAACAGCCAAAAACAGTTTCTGTCTAGCTTTTCTGCCTCGCCATAATTTAGTTAGACTGTTCACCCTTATTCTTAGACAACTTATCGAAAGATTTACAGCCAACCATGTCTTTTTGGTCCAATACGTACCGATATTTTATTAAATTATAAACAATTACGATACATATCATTGTATGTGTTAAAATCCTAGACTTTGATACATAACGT